CCAGCCGATCACGTCGGTCTTGCAGGAAAAGCACTTCTCACACTCTGAGGGAAGCAGCTTCCTCTTGTCCAAAGAAAGGCTCTGCAGTATTTCGACCCCTCGATGGAACGATGAGTTTATCAACCAACTGAAGGAAGCAAGGAAATCAGACTCCGCCTACCTCGAACAGCTCAACAGGGACGAACCTGATAAGGACTACGAGAAGCTTGACGACCTCCTGTATCGAAAGAATCGCCTTTGGATCCCCGAGGCCCTGCAAACAACGGTCATCTCCTCGGAGCACGATACCAAGGCCGCAGGCCACATGGGAATGGATAAGACCATGGAACTGATCACCAGAAACTTTTGGTGGCCGAAGATGGAAGAATCGGTCCGCGAGTACGTCCGAGGCTGTCATGAATGCCAACAGAACAAACCTCCCAGGCACTCCCCTCACGGCTTACTACAACCCATGGAGCTCCATTACGTCCCTTGGCAGTCAGTCGCGATGGACTTCATCACGGACCTACCCCTCTCCAACGGCTGCGACTCCATCTGGGTGTGACGAACCGTTACAAGCACAGGAGTATTATCGCTGGGATAGAACAATAGAGTAACGGAGTAGTAGCCGAAAGGTACTGGTAGATTGTGATAGCTATTGCTTGCTGAGGAGCCCTATGCAAGAGGTCTAGGAGACTTCTTTATATAAGGGTCCTCTATGGTGCGCCGCTGCGCCGCTCCGGCGGCGCCCTCCTTATTGGTCTATGTAACTAATTACATAAGTGATCCCTTATTGGATCGTAACACTGGGTTATGGTGGATCCCTTCACAAAGATGGCTCACTTTATCCCCCTCAAGGTCAACAGAAAGAAAACAGAGGACCTCATCAGGATTTTTGCCCGCTCTTATTGGCGACTACACGGAGTACCCTTGGACATTATTTCCGACCGCGCCCGTCAGAGGATGAAGGAGTGGGCCGATAAGAAACGAACGGAGGCACCGGTCTATGAGGTGGGACAGTTGGTTATGTTGAACGGTAAGCACATCAAGACCAAAAGACCCTCGAAGAAGCTTGACAGGAAACTCCACGGCCCCTTCAAGATATTTCAGGTGATTTCCCCTACCGCTGTCCGCCTTACCTTACCCAAATCCTGGCGTATCCATGATTCCTTCCACGTCTCTCTCCTGGAACCCTATCGCGCTGGCAATCAGGTAGCCCCTGACCCTGACCAGGTCCTGCGAGAGGCAGCCCCAGCAGAGTCAGAAGACTATGAGGTTGAGAAAATATTGGACTCCAAAGATATCAAAGGGAAGGTTAAGTATCGAGTCAAGTGGGAAGGTTGGAACAGAGCCAATGATCTAACATGGGAACCATGGGAGCACTTCCACACTGATGGAGTCAAAGCCCAGGTCATCGCCTTCCATGCGCGGCACCCAGAGAAGCCTCGAGACCCCAACGTCTCAACGAATTGACCCTTCCACAGAATCCTATCGACGAAAGCTGACGTATGTTCGGCTCGGGGCGAGCCTTG